AGTTTTTTAAGAGTCCATGCAAATCGTTTTAAACAGACTTCTGTTTGTTACGTGATTTCTTAAGTAACAAGAGTGTTTGGATTCGAGTGACTGTTGGAAACCCAAGTATTTGGTAAGTTTTCATGCGGTTCCAAGAAGGTAAATGCTTTGGTTGCATTATCAGTTTCCAAATTTATAAACTTGCATATGAACCCCGAATGGATATTTCAGCTCTCCGCTGCACTTAAATCCAAACCGAATTTCATCTTAATGTCGTCAGTGAACTTCTCCGTTCACGTTTATTAGTTGCCGCATATGACTCTCAGTGTCTGGCAATACAGCTTCAGGTCAATCCATGTAAAGAAGATGGTGAGACACGATGAGAGTTGAGGTCACCTTTTTAAGAGCGATTCCCATAAATTAGATGATAATTGAAAGTAAGAGTAGACAGGGGATTCAAGGCTAAGCAGAAACAATAAAGAGCTTAAGAGAGTCACCCTGGAAAATCGCCTCGGCGGAATGTGTATAGAATCTGTGTGGCGGATATGTTTTCCATTAGAAAGGATACAGTTTTGTGTTCGCATCGACTCATCGCGGGTTTTTCAGGAAGTTTTGGATAAACGGATGGACCTTGTATACATCCAAAAGCATTGGAAAGAGCCCAAGAATGGGGGCACCGTGGTAGAATGCTTGTAGCGCAATCTATGGTTAGCATGCGTACAAGTTTTCTTTGTTTTTTCCAAAGCACTTGCCCCACATAATTACGAGTCTATAATGATAGTTGCTCCTTGCATCCTGAGATCCAGGTCTACATTCTTTTCTGTTCATTTTGCTAAGATGTTCTGTTCCTCCAGTGTGTGTCATGATCATTGTGAACAGCAACAAGATGTTAATGAGTTTGGTAGAAAGTTTGAAAGCATAGGTTTTAATAGGCCTGTACTTCGAGGGTCTTTAGTGTCACCTTTCCTTTGGTAACAAGAATGTTCTAACCTTCATTGAGGAAGTAGGTAGATTTATCTGGATTGTGAAGAAAATATTGGAAATTAATATTGACTATAATGATGGTGGAAGTGCTGGTAAATTTTTTTTGAGGCCAATAATTGTGGCAGGCCATCACTGCTGGTGCCTTTCAGTTTATGTGCTTTGTTCAAAGCTGCTTGGACAATTTTTCCACAGTGATGATTGGTTCACCATTAGAAGGGATATTCTCGTGTCTGTCATATTGCATTTCAAATCCACGTCATATCTGGGTTGTGGGACCGTAGATGACGCAGATAGGCTTCAAAAATGTCCTCTATTCGTGCCCTTTGAGGAAAGCTCTGAACTTTTTAAATATCATTTACCAAGCCCTTCGCCCTTGGAATATTCCCTGTAGAATGTTTTCTGGTTTCTGTTAAAAAGACAGAATTCTGTTGCTTCCTCATAGTGCAATTCCTGTAGCGTCGAAGGCGCTTTGTTAACGCCAAAAAGGCTTTTGTCGTAGGGTGTCAAGATGTTCTGTTATTGTTGAATTCAATGAGCTCGTGCTCGTATGTATTTTTGTATTTATAAGGATGTTATTCCTTTCTTCTCAGTTTTTCTGGATATTTCCATTTTAAATTGTGTGAGTCTCCCTATATCTCTCATGTGCTTTCTAAATACGATTCACCAGCCGTCTTTCCCAAGGTGGCAATTCGTTTTTTCACTTCGATCCTTGTGGGCAGTTGCTACACGGCTGAAAAGTTGGAACAATTACATCCTTGAAGCCACAACCGCAGCCCCAATCAATTGCTGTGTGTACTTTTCGAAAGCATGGTCTTTGTTGTAGATGTTTGTGGCAGTACTTTTCTCATTCAAGACGCTGATTGCTTTTGCTTAATTTCTTCGAGCAATTTTGTCTGGGGAATGAGAATAGCGGTTCAGTGGGTCAGTTCCTTCAAATTCCGCAAGTGGCGACTGCAAATTCATTGCGAATTTGCACCTCTTACTACTCTTATCATCGCATAATTTTCTGAACATGCTTGTCCATTGTCATGCCTGAGTTTGCACAGCTGATATCTTCACTGCTCCTCGGATTACTAGGGTTCTTGAACGGAGTACGCATTTTCTCACTTCTTCTTGATTGCTTCCAAACTGGTGCAGAGAGGAGATTTTTCTGAACAATTGCTCGACGACTGATCCGCTATTCTTTGCTCACTATTTTCAGAATCAGGGAAACGGTGAAAAGAAATGTTTGTATGTAACTTTTTGTCGGTGGACCGTAGTGGTCGTCTCCACTTTGGTAATTGGTGTAGTATTCACGCATGATGAAGGTTTTTATTTCTGTAGTACACTTCATCTTCTGGCGTTTGTCTGCCTGCGGCAGTGGTCTCTGAAAGAATAGATTGCTTCTCTGTGGAAGCACTTGGCGGCAGGTGCTGCTATAAGTGGAGATGGCATGGGTTGTGCTAATGTTCGGCTTATAGTAATTCGGGGGTTATCCGGCCGATCAGGGCCCGCGCTGTTTTCAGCTCCTGATCACCACCGGCTCGGCATGCTGTCACCTCCAGCGGTGGCTCCGAAGGGCCGCTGGCTTATTATTAATTATTATTATTATTATTATTCACTATTATTATTACTATTATTAGTAGTAGTGTTATTATTATTATTATTATTATTACAATTTCTTCCTGCGGTCGGGGTGTTGACCTCCCCCAATATTACTGTTTTTTTTCCAGCTACCGGAAATTGCCTTTGTATGCGACTCTCAATATATACTTATTTCATCAGCAAACATACAAGCATAACTTCGTAAAGTAATTTCTCAGAATAATGGAAGTGGTGAATTCAAGGATGTTTTTTCAGCTGAGTCCGTTCTAGCGTGAATCTAAAGTGCCAAGGATGTTTGGCAAGCGGCAGGTGTCT